TAAACAAAAAAGAACACACCAGATTTAACGAGGTTTGGCAACGTGCTCACGTCCTCGGGAGCCACACCGCACAATTCTTTGATTAATTGAAGAAGATTACAATGTCCACAAACATGTTTTTATCTCTCTGATGTCTCTCTGAAAGAATCCTCTCAAAACCATCTTTTCCACATGTTCTAATAACCCTAAAAACATATTAGGTATATATAGTATCCCAGCCCAAAACAGTTTCCAAAACGAATTAGGAAACTGGAAAAACTAACTTCGGTTGACCGGACCATGCTAGTCGGTCGACCAGCCAGAGCTCGATTTTGGGCTTGGATTTCTACATGATTTTCAGTCGACCGGACCATCCCTGTCGGTCGACCGGCGAGAGCGAGCTTCTCACGCTCGTTTTTTGCATGCGTCACAGTCGATCGGACCACGTCCGTCGATCGACCGACCCACGTTTTTTCAGTTTTCTTCGTTTGTTTGATTTCAGGTTTGGGTCTCCACACCCGAGACCAACAGAGATTTAAGGAGAATGTTTAACTTAGTTAACCCCTTATGAATGATTAAAGATAATTAATTCTATTTGGATTAGATAGTTAATATGAATGGTAACTCTTTTGCATTTGGCACAAAGAGAATGATTGCATATGTTAATCCCTTTAAATTCTTTAAAAATATCAAATTTAACTTTATGGAAGTAGGAAAGTTTTGTGATAATTATTATATTAAGATAACTTTAAAAAGAATTTGCATTCATCTCAACTATAAAAATATTCTCATTTTGTAACATTTAAATAAATAACTGTTGAGAATGCAAGTAAAAAATCAAATTAGAAAGCTATAACTTGTGGTTATATAGAAATAAAATGATAACAATTACTATTGTAAATAGATAAAATATCAGATTGGAATGAAAATAAACATTAAAGAGTGATAAATAATCTAATAAAAATTGTAAGAACTTCGATGAATATCAATAATCTCAACAGAAAGTTAGCTATTGAAGAAGAAAAAATAATTTTCTTAACAATGCTATATAAACTTTTGCTAGATAAAGATAATTGCAAAAGACAAAATTCCCTCCACCAAAATATTTTTCCCTACGATAAAGTATATCGATCTCTTCCTATCCATTAACTTTGTTCTTTTGATAATTTTTTAAAATGACTTCTGCCTTGGTTGAGGAGCCGGTACGGAGAGTTAAAGTCATTACGTGCGGTTTTGTAAATCCCTTGGGTATTTTTATCGTATGGGAGGCTAATGATGAGTTAAACCTCCTTAAATCCTCCACTAACCCGTTGCCAAATGGAGCCTAAGTGTTTTACAATAAAAGCAAAGTGATTAGCAACAAATTATATATAGGTGGTTTAACAAATAAGCTAGATCTTTCCTCATAAATTATTTCATCACGCATTATTACGAAAGGAACAAAAAGAAAATCATAACACTTTACATTAGAAGTTGATGTTGAATAAATATTTTAATCTTTTAATAAACCCTCCTTAACCCAGGATATTAGATCCTAACTTAGTTGAGGAGTTGAACTTGTGTTTCGGACTAAAAAAAGGACGTTAAACCTGTGAGCGTGTGGTAGAATGTACAATTATATCCATCCTCACTCACCATAACTTCAAAGTATTAGTGTAGCAGTAGAGAACTTTGACTAAAGTAGTCCATTTGGAGTGTATTTGGGAACTCCTTATCCATGTTAGTGGATCCTAACATAGTTAAGGAGCTAAACCCGTGTTTAGTAAAAACTGGATCAGAACCAACCCTGTTTTTTTAGTTATTTCCCCCCTTAACCAAATTAGTACCATCTCTTCCCGGCCAATCTTAACCTGCTAAGATTTAACAAGGCTAGTTAAGGAGCTAAACCCGTGTTTAGTAAAAACTGGATCAGAACCAACCCTGTTTTTTTAGTTATTTCCCCCCTTAACCAAATTAGTACCATCTCTTCCCGGCCAATCTTAACCTGCTAAGATTTAACAAGGCTAGTTAAGGAGCTAAACCCGTGTTTAGTAAAAACTGGATCAGAACCAACCCTGTTTTTTTAGTTATTTCCCCCCTTAACCAAATTAGTACCATCTCTTCCCGGCCAATCTTAACCTGCTAAGATTTAACAAGGC